CCCAAGTGACGCTAAGAGGGCATCCACAACACATACAACGATGAACTTCTCGGATTTAACGTTTTTCCAGTCTATTAAAATTGTACTTAACTAAAAAGAACAAAAAACATTCTACCCCGTACACACCCGCATGTCTTCCCAGCGTTGCTCGAGTCAGAATAGCTTAAGTCTCTTGAGAGATTCACAATCGGCTTTTTACAATATGATCAGGAAACAGAGATGTATGCTGCAATAAAAAGAACCCACAGTTCATTGAGAGCCGGAGGCCAATTAAACAAATCTCACAAACTTTGGATGAGGTCAAATATACAACGAATCCTATACACCTGGATTTCCCATGAGATCAAAGGAAAACAGTGAGATTGTGGTAACCCATCCTGGAGATATCAGCGGCAGTCTCCAACCTCCGAGTGGGCACACCAGAGGCCCACTGATGTTAGTGACTGAAGATAAAACCCTTGAAGAGTATACCATATTCACGCAGGCTTTGCCAAGTCGGACGGACTTGCTTCAATAGGACCGGAAATACTGCTGCAGAACTCAGCGAACTATACTCACAAACAAATGGAAACCGTGGTGAAATTAAAGCTGTCCTAAATTTATTATTAGCTACTACTAAACATAGATCAGAGAGTTGTCCGGCGTACAAGGAAGGAAGGAAGATCAGAAGAGTGAGATAAGCTAAGTCCAAAAATAGCATAACACTATGAACCGGCGGAACTGATAGCATCGTTCTCCGGTCGGAGTCCGGAACAGGACACAACATTCTGAAACAAGTCTCGACAAGGATGAGGCAGCCTTTAGGCAAACTTTGGTGACTACCACACAATATTCAGCGCAAATGAAAAGGTTTTGGTCATTCATCTGGATACCGAACTTCTATTCCGCCTAAGAATGAATCAGGTTTAGACGGTTTTGAACCGAGCGATAACTCAAAGATTCAAAGATTTATTATGGGAATAACTTACAAGCTCATGCTTTTCTGGTCCCATAGGTTCGTGCGGTGGAGTAAGAAACAGTGATACATACAATTCTTTGTGTAAAATGTCACGTGATACGTGCGTTTTCCACTGCTTCACGCAGCTTCACTTGTGTTGGAACGTAAGATG